CCCCCCCCAGCGGCCTTGCTCCAGTGAGGTCCCCTCCGCCCCTGCCTGTGCTGCTGACTGAGCGGGCGCCAGGAAGGCCGGGCCCCTCCCCAGCCGGGCTGCCGCACCCCGCGGGGACTGGGCCTTCCGGTGGCCCTGGGTAGTGAAGTCACAAACACAGCTGCCTGCTCTGTGGCCTCGGATGCTGGGGAGGTGGGGGTGGGGAGGCAGGGAGGTGCAGCTTGGGCATAATCAGAGCCCCTGTTCCTTGTCTCAGTTTCCCTTCTGTGATCTGGAAAGCGAGGTTGTGCCTCTGCCTCTGGGAGCCCCAGATGACAGGAAGTCCTGCATTCCCGCCCTCTGGCACCGGGACAGGCAGAGCATGGCCCTGCGCTGTGGGGTCCAAGATGAGCTGCCCTGCCCTGCTCTGCTTCCTCATGGGTTGAAGCAATACAGTGCCACCCTGTGTGTGCTCCCCTGTGGCTGCCATCACCAGCCGGCCCTTGAGGCTACCAGATGAAAACATTCATTTAGTTGTTTGGATTTTGAGATGGGGGTCTTGCTATGTAGTCCAGGCTAAACTTGAACTCACTGTGTAGCCCAGGCTGGTGTCAAACTCAGGAGATCTTCCTGCCTCAGCCTCCCAGAGTGCTGGGAGGATAGGTGTGTGCCAACACACCCAGCCTAATGCTCATTTGTGGGGCTGCAACCTAGGGTTTTTGAGTTGGACAGTGAGTCCCCTAACTCCTTTTCCTAGTATACTGTCTCAAATTTCCTCTCTCTATTTTCCTTCCAACCCTGTTGGCTGTGATTAAAAAGAAATAAGCAAAATATATATAAAACATAAAATATTTATATATAAATGAATAAACAAATAAAACATATATGGAGAGAAGAGCACCAGACTTGGAAAGAATCAAGGTAACTGGGGCCAGGAATGTGGCTCAGTAGCACTGACCCTTCCTGTTGAGAGCAAGGTCCTGAGTTCAACTCTTGATACCAAAAAAACCAACCAAACAAAAAAACCGACAAAAAACTAACCAAGTGGCTGCTGAATTTGAGTTTGGGGTCAACTTTCTCGACCTTGGCTAGTTAGTTAACATCATCTGAGCCTCAGTTTCCTCGCCTGCACACCACAGTTAGTGACACATGTCCCTGCCGGAAGGGCTGGGTCGGCTGTGAGGAGCCCGTGAGTTGAGCATGCATTCTGTGCGCCTCGGCGGTCGCTCTCAGTCTGGCTCCCGCGTGACTGCAGACATTTTAGGGATGAGCTGATGGAAGTGGTAGTCAGGCCCTCGGGTCGCGTGGACTTGGGGCCTCCCTGTCCTGCGTGTCGCCTGCTCACGGATGCCGTGTTTGCCCTGGGGATCTGCATGCCCTCGTTGGCCATGAGGCAGCGGGTCTGCTGGTGCTCACCTCTGCTCGGCCCCGCCGCTCTCCAAGCACCTGCGGTGTGGGGGCCG